ATTTTCGCCCGATTTAAGGTAAATGGTGTACCAAAATCCCTATATATCATTCGATTTGCACGAAATTTGGCATAGCGTACTGAATTGGGTCTAGAATAATGTATGTAAAGTTTCGTGAAAATCGGTTCAGATTAAGTTATAACTCTCATATGCATTTTCTTCCGATTCTATGTAAATTGTGCGCTAAAAACCCAAAGTTTTTCCGATTGGCACACAAATTTGTATAATGTACTAAAGTTAATATAAATTAATCTCTGGCAGGTTTCGTTTAAGTCCGTGCAGATTTAGATATAGCTCCCATATATTTTCGTTGGTTTTGAGGTAAATGCTGCACCGAGTGACACGAAATTTTGCACAACATATTGAATTGAGATTAGAATGATGTTATTGCGTTTTATTGAAAATGGTGCAGAGCATATACAGCTCCATATATATATTTCAAACGGGTGTCTGATTGAGATTAAATTTTGAAGAGTACGCAAACCACTCTAAACTTGCCTGAATGTGAAATGAAATTTAGCATAGGTTCCAGAAAGGCATACCGATCACATATTCAAGTACGTTCAATTTCGTGGTAATGTTCTTTCAAGAAGGAGGAGTCTGTTAGGAGACATATGCAGAACCCAAATTGGTGCTTTCCTTACTGGTTTTTAAATATTTTTTGGATGGACCTCATGGCGAAGTCCACCATAACCGTGAATTTTTTAAAAAAAATTTTATTTGTGTAATATACATGGGAATATTAATACCATTAATTTTAATACACCAGGCATTGGAAGTATTTTTCTGTTTTTTTTTTTCAAATACAATAATTTATTTTTATTGCATTTCCAATATTTTTTTTTTCATTCATTTCCGATCAGTGGGAAATTCATGTTATTCCAATGCATTGGTTTCCATAGACATAATTGTGATTACAAATAATTGTATATCAATAATGATTGGTAATATTTTCCTTCCTGTCTGGGGGAAAATGGCGACAGCAATATAGAAAAAAAACTACCAACGATTATTATTTTCTCATGCAGAAGAAAAAAAATATTTTCGAAATTATGTAGCAATCGATACAGGTTAACCACAATTGAATTGACGCAAGTGTTGGTCACTGTTGGGAATTTTATTTTTCTAAAAAAAAAACAATTTTTTCACACGTATTGGACAATTAGGCAACCAAAAACAGATATTTGAAAATAGGAGGATTTTTTCTTTGCATAGAAAGAAATACATCTCAGCAGACACAGGGGCTTTTTTAAAGACTCTTAGGCGATCATAGGAAATTAATATAATTTAATACATATATATTTTTTTCAGCCAAAATCTAATAACCCACATTTGATTAAAGCAGCAACAAAAAATATCTAGTACGCAACCTCCTTCTAAAATTTGTTCCAGTTTGCAGAAACGCAAAAAGAATTGAATGCTAATGCGACGGAATATATAATCGGATTTTTTTTTTAACTTTTTGTTTTCAATTTCTACGATATGACTTTTGTATCAAATAAATTTGCGCTACTAATTAGCAAATTTGCATTTATTAATTTCAAGATTTAATATTGCAGTTTACCTCTTTTTCCCCTCTCATCTCTTTCCACCCCACATTCTCTTTTTAAATAAAAAAAAATATTTAAAATGCAAAGATTGAATTTGCATTTGTTTTAAGATCAAGGTGGCAAAATTTTTATTTGTACAACAATATATATTTTTTTACATTTTCTGAATAATTAATATGGCTCAGACGCAATATAACAACAATTACAGCAACAACAACACTAACAATTGTATTCATAGTGTGAAAAATTAAGTCAAATGATTGAAAGTAAGTCATAAAATTATACGAGATGTAACTGGATTGAGAACAAATTTAAATGAGGCATTACTGCTATAGAAAAAAATATTAGAGAGGATTCAATAAGCCAACCACAAACCCGAGATGATTTTTATAGAACAAAAAACAGTTGTATGGAATTTTTTTTTAAGAAAAAAAAATATATAAAATAAAAGTATTTAAAAAAAAAAATCTACGCCTCAAAATAATTTAAGTCTATACTATTTTGCACAGAAAAATCTCAATTTTTTTTAATTTTTTTGTTTCTAAATTAAAAGTCATTTCAAAATTTGTTGATGATGATAAAAATGTAATGTCAATTATAATTCCCATTATAAAAAAACCTCTTCATTTATTTTATAATTTATAAATATATATAAAAATACTGGATATATTTGTTGTTGTCATTAAGAACAGGTATAGGCAATAAACATTAAAAATAAATGTATTCAAACAAAAAAATCCCATCAATACCCGAAAGCAATTTGCATATAAAAACCCCGATTAATTATTGCCATTTAGATTAGAAACTAATTTATGTCAGATTTGACATTAAGGAATTAAAAATAGATGCGGATATAGAGGCCGATACTATTGTACAAAATCTAATTTAACACAATAAAACCAGGCAGGAAAATATAATAACCCAAAATATCAAATCCGCTTTAAAAACAACCTTTTTTCCAAAGTCCAAAAAAAACCGAATAACAGCGTATGCCGTTAAATGGCGCCCAAACTGAAATGTGAACCAATATCGATCATTTTTTGATAGGAAAATTTGCTATGCAACGAGAACCCATACCACCCAATTACAGCCAATTCAGTTAGAAAAGCCTACTCAAAATACCGAAATTTGAAAAGGTGTCGTAATATGGCGCCCAACATGAAAAGTGGGCCAATATAAATAATTTTTGGTAGAACGAGTTGCTACCCAACGAGAACCCAAAATACCAAATTACAGTCAATTTGTTTGAAAAACATGCTCAAACGTCTCACTATACTGTAATTTTGGAGGTATCCATTATGTGGCGCCCAACCTGAAAAATTGTAAATAGTGATAATTTTTGCTAGGTGGATTTTCAACCCAATTAGAACCCAAAATATCAAATTTACTTTGAAAAACTTCTTTAAAGTCCACAAAATATCGAATAATTGGGTGTACCGCTAAGTGGCGCCCAACTTGAAAATTCAACAAATACTGATACTTTTTGGTAGGAACATTTTATAACCAATATGAACCCTCAATACCAAATTATAGCCAATTCAGTTAGAAATCCCTACTCATAATCCTCAAAATACCAAAAATTTTAGAGGTTCCGTAATTTGGCGCCCAACATGAAAAGTGGACCAATATTGATCATTTTTAGTAGAACTATTTGCTACCCAACGAGAACCCATAATGCCAAATTACAATCAATTTGTTCGAAAATCGTTCCACAAAATATCGAATAATACGGTTTACCGATAAAAGGCGCCCAACCTGAAAATTGAACAAATAATGATAATTTTTGCTGGGACCACTTTATACCCAATGAGAACCCCCAATACCAAATTAAAGCCAATTCAGTTGGAAGAATGTACTCAAAATACCGAAAAATTTGAGGGACCTTAATATGGCGCCCAACCGGAAAATTGACTCAAAAGTGATAATTTTTATTAGGGAATCCAAAATATAAAACTACAGCCAATTTGGTTGAAAAATCTATCCAAACTACCGATATTTTGGTGATACTGTTAAATGGCGCCCAACTTAAAAAGTGGAGAATCCAAAATAGCAAATCACATACAAAATTCAGTTGGAAAAACGTGCCCAAATTACCAAAATGTGAATGATTCGATAAAATGGCGCCCAACGTGAAAAGTGTACCAATATTATTAATTTTTGGTAGGTGGATTTTCTTCCCAATGAAAACGTTCAATACCAAATTATAGCCAATTCGGTTGAAAAAAATGTCTTACACTCCCTAAAATATCGACATTTTGGAGTTACCATTATATGGCGCCCAACCTGAAAAGTTTATAATTTTTGGTAGTTGGATTTTCTTCCCAATGAGAACATCCAATACCAAATAACATTCAAATTCGGTTGAAAAAAATGCCCTACACTGCCTAAAATATCGACATTGTGGAGTTACCGTTATTGGCGTTATATGGCGCCCAACCTGACAAGTACACCAATTTGGATAATTTTTATGAGGATTTTCTACGCAATTAGAAGCTCCAATATAAAATTACAGGCATTTGATGCATCATTTAGTTTAAAAGTTTCGTAGTCGGTTCCATTCGACTTTAGGTTGTTTTTTCCCAACCGATTTCAATTGTAATGCTGAGTTTACACAAATTCCTTGCCAATTAATATTTTTCTATCTCTCTCTTCAGTATTTTTCCATTCTACATTTAATTTTTTTCTGATTTCATTAAAACTTCTCGAACGAGTTTCAATACGAACTACCCAACCGACTCAACCACCTTGCTATTGATCTATTTTTCTACAATATCGTACCAATCCCCCCTCCTTGACATTGATATGAGTTGATCGAACAGCTTAAAATGTCGTTTTATAATTATCGAACAAATTACGTTAAGTAATTCGTATCATTTCGATTGTGATATATATGATTATAATTATTTTGTTAGCCACTGGAAAAATTAGTAACGATAATTGTTCCGCCAACCTCGTACCTAGACGCCGGCCATAAAAAAAGTTGGAACTGAAATGAACGGGAAAATAAAATAATCATAATAATAAGGACTGGCGGTAGTTTCAACAAAACGCCACACAAATCATTTAATTACTCGTCATAGAGAATTATTAATTACTGGTCGGAGACTGAGCAAATTAAATGCAGCAACAACAACAACAACAACAAAAACGCTTGCATGTGACAATAATTGTGGCATTCGGTAGTAAGCGTATGACTTATTACACACTTATGTGGCGATCATGGGAACAATGTGTGTGGGAGAGAGGGGGTATGTGTGTGTGCTTAATCCCCATACAAAGGATGCTGTCACTTCTAGACATCTCTCTCGTGTGTTTTATTTCCTTATTTAATCTAAAAAATATATTTTTGCTAATTAAAATGTTGTTGTTTTTATAATTTTTTGTAATTGTTGTTTTTTTTTTCAATGTCATGATGATAAATTTCCCTTTCTTTCTTTTGTTCTCTTCTAGGGTGCACAATTGGCGTCTCCGTCATCTTACTGATCTTGGGCATCCTGGTGGCCTGTCAGTTTTATGCCTTAATTAATACGGTCATAAATTATCAGGTGGCATTGAGACCGGGTGGCCAAACCTATGGCTGGTGGGCAAAGCCCCCAGTAGAGCCCAGAATTTCCGTTTACGTCTACAATGTGACAAATGCCAATGAATTTTTGAGTAATGGCAGCAAACCGATTGTCGATGAAGTTGGACCCTATGTTTATACGTAAGTATCACACAATAAATATAAAGAAATTGCCATATTTTTTATGGTTAAGGTAAATATATTGATGAAATAAAAAAAAATAAGGCAGGACCGAACTTTTAGGAACTATACCAAAACGAGGACAGATCTTCATAATTTTTGGTATTTGCTACCCAATGGGACCCATAATACCTACTTGCAGTTAATTCGGTTGAAACTAATGTCCATTCTCCCAAAAATTCCGAAATTTGGGAAGTACCGTTATATGGCGCCCAACATGAAAAGTCTATCAAAGGCCGAACCGAACTTTTTACAACTATACCACAGATCTGAATCCAAAAAAAACCAAATCACTGTCAATTCGATTGAAACGAATGTCCAAGCTCCCAACAATTTTGAAATTCGGGAGATACCGCTCTATGGCGCCCAACATAAAAAGTCTACCAAAATTGATAATTTTTGGATCAATTTTGATAGTCTTTGGTAGGAGAATCACCCAACAAGAAAACAAATTTTTAATTTACAGACAATTTGGTTGGAAAACATACCAGTAGTCGTGAAAATTCCGCAATTCGGAAGATCCTGATATAAGAAAGCTGCCCTGAAAACTGGACCAATTTTGAAAATGTTTGCTTCGAACATTTACTACTCAATATGAACACATAATATCAAGGTTTAAGGTTTAAGGTTTAATTTATTGAGCCTTTTTTAAAAACGTTATAATTCAGAAGAGTTTTAATAAAAGAAAGCCAAACTTAAGATTATAATGTGTTATCAAAATTTACAATATAGTGTGTACAGCACAATGCTTAAACATGTGAGAAAAGAGAAAAAATAATTATATTACAATAATAATGTAGAATAATTCCTTGCTCCCGAGAATACCGTAATTTTGAGAGTTAAAATCTCAATTAGACTTAAAAACTAAATAAAAACAAAAAAACAACAGAAGAGAACAAAGAAAAAATAAATAATATTAAAAAAATAAAATAAAAACCAACCAGCATACACATCACCCTCTATGTGTACCGAATATCGCTTTTTCATAAAAAGAATATCGAATGATATATAGCTATTTTCATGACCGTTTACGCGTTGAACAAATTTTGAAATCAAATCACAAACGTATAAACCAACAGGAGTAATTTTGGACTCGCCATATATTACCCTATTGGAAAAACGCTTGCAGCTTGATTCATAGTATTTCCCAATACAGTGTCTTAAAATTTTTCTTTCCAAAATTTCCATTTCGGTAATTAGAACAGGGGATATACTGAACCATATTGGGAACGCATAAAGAAATACGGGTCTAATCGAAGTTTTATATAAAAGTAATTTAGTGCTTGATGGCAGGTCCTTATTGGCCAAAATTTTTGAAAAAGACCCAAGAAGGCGATATGCTTTTCCTAAAACCTGTCTGGCGTGTTTATTAAATTTCATAAGGTTATTAAATGTGATACCTAAATATTTAAATGAGTTGCCTATAGGAATGTCAGTACCATTGAATGTTAACTTTAAATTTTTACTTTCAGGGACTACCCATTTTTTGCATTTCCCTGAAGCATTTCTAATACAAATAGCTTCAGTTTTAGATGCATTAATTTTTATACCCCATTTTGTATAGTACTGTGCAACTTTCTCCAAGTGATTTTTTACTTTACATAATGCCGTACTTGGCGATTCATCGTGTGCATATAGCAATGAATCGTCTGCATAAAGGATACCACAAGAATATCCATAATGATGTGGAAAATCGTACATGAATATACTATATAAATGGGGTGACAAAATGGAACCTTGAGGAACACCACATCCAATATCCACGAGCTCAGATACTAGTTGCTGAAACTGAACACAAAATTTCCTATTTGAGAAAAAACTATAAAACAATTTTATAACAAATGGGTCAAAATTAAGTTGTATCATTTTATATAAAATTCCTAAGTGGGATGCACGGTCAAATGCCTTTTCTACGTCAAGTGAAATAGCTACTGTACATTTTCGTTCTCGTAGTTTACATATTATATCATTTTCAAATTTAAGTAAAGCATCGGTCGTAGAATGGCCACTTTTAAATCCGAATTGCAGATCTGGAATATATGACGAATTAAGACCATAGTCCATTTTAATGCGTATTATTCTTTCTAATAATTTCCCAAGGTTGGAAAGCATAGAGATGGGTCTCAAATTGTTAATTTCCGAATTATTTGGTTTTTTCAAAACCGGGACGATTTTGGAAATTTTCCATTTACCTGGAAAATATGCGTTATTCAAACAATTATTAAATATTATAACTAGGTACTCAAATGCCTTAGCAGGAAGCTTTTTTATTATGAAATTCGATATGTTGTCCAATCCATAAGACTTTTTGTTATTAATGTCTTTGATAATACTAATAATTTCGTCAATATGTGTTAGCCTGGGGTTTCTCATAAAATTAAGAGAAGATTCCATGGCATTAAAATTAAGCATATGATTTCTACTGGCTATTGTGTTATGAACTATATCTTCCATATCATGCATGTCTTCACTTAAATTTGAATGACTATAAACAGTAGCGAAATGTTGTTTAAGTTTATCGCATGCAACTAGATTATCGTCAATTAAAGCTCCATTTTCTGTTAATTTATTGAGGTTTGCTTTACGTTTATGACCAATGATATTATACACCTGCTTATGCGCTTTAGGTCCCGGTTTTATTTGCTTAAGCCTTTCAGAAAATATTTTAGACTGTTCAATTTCAACTTGCCTTTTAATTATAATACCTAATAGTTGCACCTGTTTTGATAATAAACGGTAATTTGGATCCGATCTATCTTGAGTCCTATTATAGATTTTTTTCAAATCCTTCTGCCAAGAATACTTCAATTTGAAGAGGTTTCTTATTGCATCTGAAACGATGTATTTTTTACCCATTTTTTTAATTTCCGAGTGCCTGGTATGAGCATTGGTTATCACATCTGAAATATTGTCGATATAAAAGTCTATCTCAATATTAGAGAGATTCCTTTTTGAATCTGGAAAGCTATTCAACAAACCATCTTGATTATCAACTCGGAATGTATCCCAATTTGTGTTTTTATAGGAAGTATAAGATTTTAGAGGACTCAAAATAATAACACATAATATCAACTTATACCCGATTCGGCTGAAGCAACATGTCAAAGCTCCTAAAAATTCCGAAATTCAAAGGTGCCGCTATGTGGCGCCCAACATGAAAAGTCTACCAAAATGATAATTTTTGGTGGAACATTTGCTACCTAATGAGAACCTAAAATACCAATTTACAGCTAATTTATCTGAAAAATGTGCCCAAAATCCGCAAAATACCGTATAACGGAAGGTACCTCATATGAGAACCACACTAAAAATGGACCGATTTTGAATAGGAAGATTCTCCCCAAATGAAAATTTTAATTTAATTTGGTAGGAAAACATGGCATAAGTCGTCAAACTTCCGAAATTCGGAAGGTCCTAATATAAGAAAGTGTCAAACTTAAGAAATTCGGAAGGTCGTGATGTAAGAAAGCTGCCCTAAAAAGTGGACAATTTTTAAAAATGTTTGCTTCGTAAATTTACTACCCAATGAGAACCCATAATATCAAATTACAGGCATTTCGGTTGAAAAACGTGCTCAAGCTCCCCAAATTCCGAAATTCAAGAGGTATCGTTATATGGCGCCCAACATGAAAAGTCTACCAATATTGATAATTTTTGGTAGGGAGATTTGCTAACCAATGAGAACCCCAAATACCAAATTACCGTCAATTTAGTTCGAAAACGTCTCCTAAATCCGCAAAATATCGAATAACGGGAGGTACCTCATATGAGGACTACTCCAAAAAGTGGACAATTTTGATAATTTCTGGTAGGATTATTTACTGTTCAATGTGAATACAAAATATAAAATTACACCCAATTTGCTTTGAAGAATGTGCCCAAAGTCCCCAATTCGGAAGGTCCGATAATATGGGAACTACCCAAAAAAGTAGAACAATATGGATAATTTTTGGTAGGGATATTTGCTACCCAATGAGAACCCTGAATACCAATTTACAGCCAATTTGGTTGAAAAATGTGGTCAAGCTCCCCAAAATACCGAAGTTTGGCAGGTACAGTTATATGGTAGGCTAAACCTAAACGAAGGCAGATCATTGATCATTTTTAATAGGAAGATTTGAGGCACAATAAGAAACCAATCTACCGAATTACAGACAATTTTATTAAAACCCCTGCCAGAAATCCGCAAAATACCGAAATTTGGAAGGTCCTGATATTGGGGAGCTACCCCAACAAGTTGACCAATATTGATAATTGTTGGTAGAAAGATTTACTACCCAATGAAAACCCCAAATACTAAATTACAACTAATTCGTTTAAAAAATGTACCCAAGCTCCAAAAACATCGAAATTCGGGAGGTAACGTTATATGGAGGCTACCCTAAAAATTGACCAATATTAATATTTTTGTGGGAAGAATATTTTTTTGTGGGAAGAATTGTTAGCCAATAAGAATCCAAAATACGAAATTACAGCCAATTCAGTTGAAAAAATGAAGCGAAATACCGACATTGTTAAATGGCGCCCAACCTAAAAAGTGGACCGATGTTGTTAATTTTTGGTAGGAAGATTTGTTACCCTATGATTAAATATAAAAATTACGGCCGATTAGGTTGATAAACGTTTCCAAAATCCGCTAAATATCGAAATTCGGAAGGTGTCGTTATGTGGAAGATATATCCAAAAATAAACCAATATTTATAATTTTTGATAGAAATATTTCCTATCCAATGAAAACACCCATTTAATTGAAACCCATTTAACCCATTTAATTGAAAAATGTGCCTAGAATGCTCAAAATACAGAAATTCGGAGGTACCGTTATACGGGGGTCACCCTAAAAAAAGGGTGATTTTGTAGCCACTTGAAATCCAAAATATTAAATTACAGCTAATCGAGTTGGAAATACGTACCCAAACTCCACAAAACAGAAATTTAAGATTTAAGAGTACATGGCGCCCAACATGAAAAGTGGACCGCCTGTAAATTGTCAGTCCGACTTTGAACTCCGATTTAAATAATTTGTTTTCAATTTTCTTTTAATTTCAGTGAATCCTGGGAAAAAGTCAATATCGTACAAAACGACAACGGCACCCTCACCTATAGTCTCAAGAAAATATATGTCTTCCGTGAAGAATTGTCAGTGGGTTCCGATGATGACGTGGTCATTGTTCCCAACATACCCATGTTGAGTGCCACCTCTCAGAGTAAACATGCTGCAAGGTAAAATTTCAAAATCAAATTTTCATATTTCAAAACAAAAATTTCAATTTCGAAAATCCCCTTACAGATTTTTACGTCTAGCCATGGCCAGTATTATGGATATTTTGAAAATTAAACCCTTCGTCCAAGTATCCGTCGGTCAACTACTGTGGGGCTATGAAGATCCCCTATTGAAATTGGCCAAGGATGTGGTGCCCAAGGAACAAAAACTGCCCTATGAAGAATTCGGTTTGATGTATGGCAAAAATGGTACATCGGCGGTAAGTTTGAATAAAAAAATAATGGGAAATTTTCAATTTAAAAATAACGGTTTTTTATATATTTCTCATTTTTTCAGGATCGTGTCACTATCTTCTCGGGCGTTGATGATATCACCAAATTTGGCATTATCGATAAATACAATGGCCGTTCCCATTTGCAACACTGGCTCACCGATGAATGTAATGTGTTGAATGGTACCGATGGTTCGATTTTCCCACCCCACATTACCGAAGATCGTGTCTTGCATATTTACGATAAGGATTTGTGCCGTTTGATGCCTTTGGTATTCGAAAAGGAAGTCATCACGAAGGGTGATGTTAAGGGTTATCGTTTCTCACCACCCACAAATGTTTTTGCTGATGTTAACTCCAATCCCGATAATATGTGCTTCTGCCCTGCCGGACAACCTTCATGTTCGCCCAATGGATTGTTCAATGTTTCGTTGTGTCAATATGGTGAGTAGTGGTAGTCCATCACAGGCGTGCATTTTTTTAGAAAAAAAATTTTGAAGTCCATCACAGGCTTGGATTTAAAAAAAATATTTTTAAAAATCCACGCCTTGTTTGAGACCCTGAAAAAAATATTTTTAAAAATCCACGCCTTCTTTGAGACCCTGAAAAAAATATTTTTTAAAAAATCCACGCCTTGTTTGAGACCCTGAAAAAAATATTTTTAAAAATCCACGCCTTGTTTGAGAGCCTGAAAAAAATATTTTTAAAAATCCACGCCTTGTTTGAGACCCTGAAAAAAATATTTTTAAAAATCCACGCCTTCTTTGAGACCCTGAAAAAAATATTTTTAAAAATCCACGCCTTCTTTGAGACCCTGAAAAAAAATATTTTTAAAAATCCACGCATTGTTTGAGACCCTGAAAAAAAATATTTTTAAAAATCCACGCATTGTTTGATACTCTGAAAAAAATATTTTTAAAAAAATCCACGCCTTGTTTGAGACCCTGAAAAAAATATTTTTAAAAATCCACGCCTTGTTTGAGACCCTGAAAAAAATATTTTTAAAAATCCACGCCTTGTTTGAGACCCTGAAAAAAATATTTTTAAAAATCCACGCCTTGTTTGAGACCCTGAAAAAAATATTTTTAAAAAAATCCACGCCTTGTTTGAGACCCTGAAAAAAATATTTTTAAAAAAATTCACGCCTTGTTTGAGACCCTGAAAAAAATATTTTTAAAAATCCACGCCTTGTTTGAGACCCTGAAAAAAATATTTTTTAAAAAATCCACGCCTTGTTTGAGACCCTGAAAAAAATATTTTTAAAAATCCACGCCTTGTTTGAGACCCTGAAAAAAATATTTTTAAAAAAATCCACGCCTTGTTTGATACTCTGAAAAAATATTTAAAAAAATCCACGCCTTGTTTGAGACCCTGAAAAAATATTTTTTTAAAAAAATCCACGCCTTGTTTGAGACCTTGAAAAAAATTTTAAAAATCCATGCCTTGTTTGAGACCCTGAAAAAATTTTAATAATCCACGCCTTGTTTGAGACCCTGAAAAAAATTTTAAAAATCCACGCCATGTTTGAGAATCTGAAAAAATATTCTTTTAAAAAATCCACGCCTTGTTTGAGACCCTGAGAGAATATTTTTATAAATATATTAATTAATTGTTGTGTTCTTTTTTTGCAGATTCTCCCATTATGCTAAGCTTCCCCCATTTCTATTTGGCCGATGATAGTTTGCGCACAGCTGTCGAAGGTATTTCTCCACCCGAAAGAGAGAAGCATCAATTGTTCCTTGATGTGCAACCTGTAAGTTTTTCAAAAAATTATTTTCAAACAAGTTACTAAAGTATATTATTTTTTATTTGCAGGACATGGGTACCACATTGAGAGCCCGTGCTCGTGTACAAATCAACTTGGCCGTCAGTCAGGTTGTTGACATCAAACAAGTTGCCAATTTCCCCGATATTGTCTTCCCCATTCTCTGGTTCGAGGAGGGTATTGACTATTTGCCCGATGAAATTACCGATTTGATGAAATTCGCCACAACTGTACCACCCAAAATTCAGGTCATCCTGACCATAGTATTCTTTGCTGTGGGTGCTTTACTGCTGTTGATTTCTGTGTTCTGTTTGATACGCAAATCCCATCGACAGAGCACCTTACATTTGGAGGGTTCAAATTATTTGGCCACTGCCCAGGTGGATGCACAGAAGAAAAAGACAAAAGAACAAAAACAAAAGCATTAGGTTATAAAAAAACAGATTTTTATTTCTTTGAGATCTTCCTTTCCATCCCTGCATCTTCCCCTCCAAAGCAAATCCCAGTTTTGTATTCCCCACATTCCCACTATTTCTAATAGATAGTTAGGTCTTGTACTTAATACCCTCTATTTTTTTGTAAAAAGAGAAATCAAACGAAAACGCACAAAATGAAATCTATCACAAATCTACTATTATTTAGGGTTATAGGGTTAATAAGCAAATAAAAAACAACAATTTAAAAATATAATTTTATTTTAAATAATAGAAAGAAAAAAGGAAGGAAATATGTCAAACACTTTTAATCTATTTCTATATAATTTTTTTCATATGGGTGGCATATGTCGTAAATATACCATAAATATATTTATAGTTAATAAGTTATATGTAATTATTTTCATGAAGATGTACTATAATTTTATATAGTTTATTTTTGTTTGTTTTATATCTAAGGAAGTCTTTCCGGTCTTCCCTTCTGTTTTGTTTTACTTCTTATACTCGTACTTATTGTTTGTACTCATTTACATACTTTGTTATTCAAATGTTTTTAATCCTTAAATTAATTAATTAAATTCAACTGAAACATCAAAATTTTCTGTGATCCGTCCGTAATAACAACATTACCTTACGTTACAATACGTTTACGTTGCATTTTGAATAACTCGCAGCTGTTCTACTCTCATCGCAGAAATATCACAAACAATTAGCTTTCCTATATAGAATTCTCCCAAACATGTTCACAACACCGAACAACAGTAATCAAGAGAATAAAGAGAATGGGAGGGGAACTCTTTAAGAGAGCCCTAAATAACTGTATATTTACCCAAACATCACACACAAAATAATGTCACAAATAAGATCACAATGATAGGCGAATTCCCTCTCTCTCTCAACATCTTTTATAATTTTTTCTCTTTTTATATTTCTCCCTTCTCTGTTAATGATAATAATAAAGCATACGTAAGGTTTAAGGTCAGCAGTGGAGATGAGTCACAAATAGTTTTTTTTGTAACAACAACAAAAATATACGAATTATTTTTATTATTTTGCTATATAATATTTTTAAGTTTAAATTGTAAATCATTGTAATGTAATTAGTTGCATATTTTGTAAAAGTAAAATAAAACATATATACAAATATACATAAAACAAATAAATGAAAATGTGAGAAAACGAAGTTACTAAAGTTTTAATGAGTCTTGAAAAAAATATTTTTTAAAAAATCGAATTCTTCTTTTTCCGCGTCTTGAGAAAACTTGAAATACAATTTTGATAAAACTTAAGAAAAAAAAAAACCAGTAAGGAAAGTAGTAAAGTCGAAATGGGACGACTATATGATACCCTTCACCACTTTGGGTATATTGAACATATGTATCCTTAAAATTGCATGTCAATTTCCTCCAAGGGACATACGCATGCCTTTCTGCAACCTATGATCAATTTAATTCCATTCGGCAGATTTAGAGTCGTTTCCGTACCATGAGACAATTTTTGGAAAACGATTTAAAGGAAAATTGATACACGCTATTCGGTACGCCGCACAGTTAAAAATGTAATTTCAATCAGACACCCGTTCGAAATACAATTTGATACGTTGTTCAAAAGTTCGTGTTAATCGGATAAATATTAGGTGTTTGGTGCACCATTTATGTAAAATCGGACGAATATATATGTATATATGGGATATATATCGAAATCTGAATCAATTTTTCCGACACTTACGACACATCATTCTAGGCTAAATTCAGTAAGCTATGTCAAATTTCGTGCAAATCGAGGGATATATATAGGGATTTTGATGCACCATTTACCTAAAATCGGACGAAAATATATATGAGAGCTATATCTAAATCTGAACCGATTTTCCTGAAACTAACCACTCATCATTCTAGACTCAATTCAGTACGCTTTGCCAAATTTCGTGCAAATCGAAGGATATATAGGGACGTTGGTGCACTCTTTAGATATAGTTAACTATATGGGTACTATATCTAAATCTGAACCGATTTTCACGGAACTTAGCACACTTCATTCTGGACCTAATTTATTATGCTGTGCCAAAATTCGTGCAAATCGTAGGATATTACATTAAATCGGGCGAAACTATATATGGGAGCTATATCTAAATCTGAACCGATTTTCACGAAACTTTGCACACATCATAATATACTTAATTTTGTACGCTATACCATAGTCGAAACATATATGGGGACTTTGGTGCACCATTTACCTAAAATCGGACGAAAATACATATGGGAGCTATATCAAAATCTGAACCGATTTTCATGAAACTTAGCTCACGTCATTCTACACATAATTCAGTACGCTATGCCGAAATTCGAGAAAATCTAATGATTTTCAAGGACTTTGGTGCACCATTTACCTAAAATCGGACGAAACTATATATGGGAGCTATATCTAAATCTGAACCGATTTTCACGAAACTTAGCGCACATCATTCAAGACCTAATTCAGTACGGTATGCCAAAATTCGTGCAAATCAAACAATTTGCAGGGACTTTGGTGCACAATTTACTTAAAATCGGACGAAACTGTATACGGGAGCTATATCTAAATCTGAACCGATTTTCACGAAACTTATCACACATCATTCAAGACCTAATTCAGTACGCTATGCCAAAATTCGTGCAAATCTTATGATTTTCAAGGACTTTGGTGCAGCATTTACCTAAAATCGGACCTATGGAAGCTTTATATAAATCTGAACCGATTTTCTCCAATTTAAATAGGGTTCGTCCTTGGGCCAAATAAGGGACATGTGGTAAATTACATCCAAATCGGATTATAAATGCGACCCGTACATTGTTTACAAAAATACATGGACGGACGGAGGGACATGCATAAATCGACTTAGAAGGTGATTCTGTGCATATTTTCCTGTTACAAACATATGCAAACATGTACCACAGTGTGGTAAGGGTATCTTTCGATTCATAAACTTTATTTTCCTGTTACAAACAAAAAAAAGAAATTTTTAAAAATCCTCGCTTTGTTCGAGTCATAGAAAAACAAAATATTTTTTTAAAAATTCTACAACTAATGTTAACAAATATTTTTTTTTAAATCAGTGTGGTGAAGGGTAAAACTAAAATACAAATATTCAATAAAAAATTATTATTTCAAAAAAATCTACGCCTTGCTAGAATATCAAAAAACATCTGCGGCTATATGTGGAGAAACCAACGACGATAATTTTTTTTTTCATAAAATTATTGTTTAATCCTTTTTCTTCTTCAAGGACTACCAAAGCAGCTATGTTGAATTTTTTGAAGTATATTTCCTAATATGAGCCACCAAATTTTACTCCAAATTTCAAACCATCCTGGTACAAGATACAAGCTGAAAGTCCGCAGTTTGCCAATTAATTTATTGTAATTAACTACCTGTCCTCGATGCCTGGTATGTCTGAGCAATTTCGAAAAGAAAATACCCACTCCAGACGTTAAGCCTGATTTCATTCATCATTCTTTCCTGTATTATTATATTTAATACTATTATTAAGATACACTACTTAGTCATTTATTTCTTTGTTTATTTACTTTAATGTTTATTTTTTGAAATAAATAAATAAACTGTTTAAAAACAAATACTAAAAATCTTTTTTTATTTATGGACGTCAAAAAATCTGTCAGTGGGGGGTTCTCAATATTAGTTGCTTAATATTTATCCTGGCTCACCACTCCCAACGAATTTACAAAAAAAAAATCAACAAAAAAATCTCAAAATGTTTGTACATTTTTGGGCAAATTTCACAAAAGTACCAGGCGCCCAGAATAAAATAGCAAGTTGCCCGCCAAAAAAAAAAAAAAAAAATTTCCAAAATTTTGATCTGGCAACACCCTACATGCGAAAAAAATCAAGCTCCTAAAAGTATGCTACAATTTTTGTAGTTACATTGTACGGCATTGCCAGATGCAAATTTTTCCAACATATTTTATTTTTGGCGGGCTACTTTCTATGTAATTCTGTGCGCCTGGTATTTTTGAGAAATTTGTCCAAAAAATGCACAAAACCAGGTGAAAGAAAACTTGTGACGTCATCACATAAATAATATATGTGGCACGTGCAGAATTAGAATGGACATGTATACTTACCGTATTTGTATCCATAAATAAAAACAAACAATATTTTTAGTAAATTCATTTTTTTTTTAATTTTTATTAAATAAAAAATATATAGATACGTTTAAAAATAAATATATAAAATACTAGTTTAATTAATAATTGTCTTAACAACTACTTCGGATTGGTCTGCATTGTATTGTTGCAATCCTTCCTTGCAGTGTTTTATGATTGAGATAACAAGTCATTCCTGGGTTCCAGGTCCTGCCATATTTTCAACTTATTTGTAGATCGTTTGCGATAGTCATCATACGGAAATCCAAGCATATCCGATTTACAAAATCTTGGCGTAGAATGAAAAATCTATACTAATAAAAAGTGAAGTGATTGACTGACTGATTTAACGATTCATCAAGGCCCAGACGAAACGGCTGAAGCTAGAATCTTGAAACTTGAAGGTCACACTTAGTCCAAAGGTGTCAGATAAGGCTGGGTTTTTGGAAATTCGTACTAGAACGGTACGAAAAGTATTAAAAAGTACTAAATGTGGCATCATTTGTATTTGGCGAACCGGTAGAGCTAGAACTCTTAAATTTTAAATGAGGGTCACTGATGGAGTGTAGAATAGATATAGCAAAGGGTTTTTTTTTGGACATTCGAACAATAAGTATGAGAAAAGTACTAAAATGTACTATATTTGGTACAATTTCGTAGCATTTGAATGGATAGAGCTAAAAACTTGAAATTTGGAATGCGAATAAGGGTTGATATGTAGGGTCTATTTAATGAGATGGTTTTCAATGTGTGTACTCATGTGTACGAAAAGTACTATATGGTACTATATTTGGTACAAATTTAATTTGGAGATACAAATCGAGCTGGAATCTTGGAATTTGAAAATAACAT